GAAGATTAGAACTGCCTTACAGGGTTCCCGAGGCTGTAGTCATTATGAAAGCAGATTGCCACATCTTTATTCCACAGAGTAGCTATGGGTTGGAATCACTAACCTTTCAGTTAGCAGTCAAGTGCTTAATTACTATACCAGTAGGGCTCCTTTCTTATCCCATTACTTATTATAAAACAACTTTACATCATCATATTTAAGTTATAAGGCAAACATCACTGAGGACTTTACATCCTCTTTGGAAAAGAAAAGGGTTATTACATTTTTGGCTGTACCTAGGATAGCTGTGTTAGGGGGAAGACTGTTACTATGTTTACTCAGAGATTAAATATGATTCAAGATGTGTTTGTGTGCCCAGTTGTTTGGCCAAACATAATCTAGTTGCTGTTATCAAGTGGCACATTTGATTAAATCAGCTGGTTTTAAGTAAAGCCATTTACCCTCCATAATGTAGGTGAGCCTCAATCAATCAATTGAAAGCCTTAAGAGCAAAATGGATTTTTCCCTAGGATATGTTCTGCCACTACTCCTCCACTCTGCTCATTGCCTGACCTATGGATTTTGGGACACACCAAACCAAAAACCAAACTCACTGCTGTCAAGTCGGATCCAACTCATAGCGATCCCTCCTTGAGTTTCTGAGGCGGTATCACTACAGAAGTAGATTGCCCAATCTTCCTTTCAAGGTGTGGCTGGTGGGTTTGAACGACCAGCCCTCTGGTTAGCAGTCAAATGCCTTAGGCACTACGCCACAAGACGGACACAATCTCCAACCTATTGCCTGACTATAGATCTTGGACTTGCCAGCCCCCACAATCATGTAAGTTAATTCCTTAAATTTCTTTCTCTGGGTCTGTTTCTCTAGAGAACCCTAAGACAACCCCCAAATTGTCTTTCCAACTTTACCCTACCCTACTCTACTCACCAGCCACTGCCTCAGAAACCCAAGGAGGGGTCGCTATGAGTTGGATCCGACTTGACAGCAGTGAGTTTTTTTTTTTTTCTTTTACTCCGCTACACATATTATTTTTCACTCCTCTACACATATTATGTTAATCATATCCTATCTTTGATCTCTGCTAGCGTAGTGCTGGTGGTTCAAACCCACTAGCCACTCCTTGGAATGAAGGTTAGACAATCTACTTCCATAGTGATACCGCCTTGGAAACCCAAGGAGGGGTTGCGATGAGTCGGGTCTGACTCGATGGCACATAACAACAAAAACATCTTGTATGTAACCCCACATTTTCTGTCTTTAATATTTCATGCTCCTTTCTCCACTAGGGGAGCTCTGGTGGCATAGTGCCTGAGGCATTTGACTGCTCTAACCATAAGACTAGTGGTTCAAACCCACTATATCTTCAGAATGAAGACTGGGCAATCCACTTCCACAGAGATACTGCCTCAGAAACCCAAGGAGGGGTCACTATGAGTTGGAATTGACTTGACGACAGTGAGTTTCATTTGGTTTGGTTTCTCCATTAGAGTTCCCTCTTTCCAAATCTGTTAAAATCTAACCCATATTACATGGCTAACTCAAATGCCACCTCCTTCAGGAAATTACTCCTGATTTTCTCAATGTATTTATCTGCTTTCTTCACAACTCAACGTTTTTCATTATGTTACCTGACACACTATCTTGTATTACAGTTGTGCATCTATGTTATCACTTCTACTTTTTTCCTATCATACAATTCAAGTTCCTTAAGGGCAGGAGCAATGTCTTCTTCATCTTAAAAAAGTACTTTCTAAAATATGAATAAAAAAGAGAGGAGGGCTTTTAAAAGACTCTGATCAATTTCATTTTCATTTAAATATTCAAAGAAGAGTTTCCTTTGAGAGTGTGATATTGAAACTGATAACTACAAAAATAACAGTAAATGGACAGGAAAAGGAAAGAAATTGATAGTTCAACCCCTATGCAGTGCCCACCAGATGTGACAGGTGTTTTCATGTGTGTGCTCTCATTTCTTCACAAACACCCTGTGAGATTAATGGGTATCATTCTCTCTTAGACATGAGGAAACTGAGGCTCAACAGAGTGACTTCCTAAAGCTATCAAAGATTTTATTGAGTGGCAAATCTGGCATTTTGCACTCTCTTCTGTCAGTAGTTCTCTGTGAAAGAAATTAAAGGTAGTACTAAAAGATTATTTGCCACAATCAAAGGAGATTAATATTCACAAATGCCTTTTTCAAAGTACAACATGTTAAACAAATTAAGGTATTAATTATGGGGATAATGCCACAGAAAGTAAAACAAGTAGCCAAAATCAAAACCAAACCCACTGCCATTGAGTCTATTCTGACTCACAGTGACCCCCATGTATCTTTACAGAAGAAGACTGCCTCATCTTCCTCCCTTGGATCAGCTGGTGGGTTTGAACCACTAACCTTCTAGTTAGCAGCCAAATGCCTTACCTACTGTGCCACCAGAGCTCTTTCAAAACGAGTAGATATCACTCATTTCTATCATTCCACACAGCAATGCCTTGACAAAAGCATCCAGTGGCACATTCATCTTAAATGTTTTTTGCTGACATGGCTTTTTAAAAATATAAGCATTTAGCTATGTACTATCAGAGGTGACTATGTTGAGTCCATCATATAAAAAAATTCTTATAATTCAATATTCATTTGGTACCAGGATGTGTTTTTCAACAAAAGACTGCTCAGAAGGCTTACGATCTGGAAGGCAGTATGATACAGGGAATGTAACCGTAGACCCCCAAAACACTATTTTAAACAACTTTTTTTTCCATGAAAATTTTCCCAATCTTTGGTGGTAATTAATGAAATTATTTAATGATGTAAGTTTTAGGATGAAATATGAAAGGGAAGTTACTGATGTGGAAACTGTGAGAAAAGACTGATTTAATTTCTGGGATATAATGAACAATGCTTCTCAACTGATGAATATGAGAATATTGTGGGGTGGAGAAGAGGTTCTATAACACTGCAAAACAAGATGGCACTTTCTGCCAATGCTTCACTTATTTTCCTTTAATTTTAAAATTTCAGTGAACATCAAAAAGAAAATGGTTCTTTTAGGTTTCTAAATGGAATAATCCTTTAAAAAGAGATATGAGAGGTGCCGAGGTAAAGACCAAGAAAAATAACAGAAAGAAGTAACGCCAGGGAAAACTGTAAAGACAGTAGCAATAAAGAACAAGAATCAAACATAAAAATCACAAGGCAATGAAAGAATTAAGATGGCTGATTGAAGACTAGTTAAGAAGATTAGGAAAGGGGAAGACTTAATAATAAATATGTCCTAGAATAAATTATTAAAAGATGTAATCAAAGTTCTTGCTAAAACAGATGATACATTTAAAATATTTTTAATCAAAAAGGAAATATAATGTAAAATATTTATTTAATAAAAATAATTTTTATATATAATCTATACAGAATTGAATAAAAAGTTACAACAAATTATTTTCACTTCTTTGCAAAACTGTATACAGTACAACTTGCAGATTGGATTTCGCATTTTACAAATATGGCCACATGACAAGATGTGAACTTACTCTTACCTTAAATAAGTAAAGGCTCAGGTTGTATGCCACACTTCAAATTACAAAGGAAATATTGCTTTGGTAATGTGAACAATTTATTGTATCACAGTCCTTTTATTTAAAAAATAAATAAATAAAATAAGGATTAAATAAAATCCCTCAAACACTACTTTTCTACTTGTTTCTGAATAAACAATTCCCTATGTAGGAAAAAAAACAAAATAAAGCAAAAAGAAATCCATAAAATAGAAAGTTGGTGGCTGCTACTTTTAAAACATCACTTCCCCTTCCTTCTTTAGCCAGTGCTCCTTTCCTTTCCTTTATTTGGAAACGAAGATGAATGGAAAATGACCTATTTATTTATCCCCATCCATTTGTTTCTAGGATACCAGCTTAAACCAAATGAACACATTAATTTCACAATCTTCACATCATTAACACTGTTTAAACTGTGTCATTCTAAACAAGTTAACATCCTACTTAAAAGCACCTACCTAGCGATCTTTTCAAGATAAGGCAATAAAATTGGCTTTTTCAAAAATTTAAAAGTTTTCATGTCTCATGTTACTGTAGCCACTTGGTAGACTGATTTTAAAATTAAATGTACACAGAACAACATTTCTTCAAGTAACTTGGAAATGGAATTATTAGCAATCCTTATTTTAGGCAAATATTCAGGATTATCCACCCTTAGAAACAAAGACAAATTTAAAGTACAAATTCAGGTGTAACATCTACCCACGTTTTCATCCCATTGAAATAATTAAAAAGAGGCTCAGTTTATGAAAAGGGCCTTGGAATAATCCAACTCCTAATGATATCCTTCTCTTGTACATAGAGGACAAAACAATATAAAAGGTACAAGTGAAGAAGAAGTTATTAAAAAAAAAAAAAAAAAAACTTTTTCATCTTATTTTAGAAACAAAGGGAATGCAAATAAAAATGGACTAGTTATATCCTTAGCCCATATACTAACTTTTCCTCATGGAATTGATGGTCTTTCATAATAAAGAATTAAAGACAGCAGGAGACCTATCTTAAGTTTTCTGATTAGGCCTCTTCATTTAGAATGCTAGCAGGCTTCAAAATTTACCTTCTTTTCTAACTACATGAGCTTCTCTAGGAAGCGTATGAACAATGCAAACAATGTACTTCTAAAGAAAATCTACACAAGGACATAATTATCAAGACAGTAACCGAGAACATTCACACAATGAATTTTAAAAATAACTTAAATTTCAAAATGACACATACTCTTTATAGAACACTAAACCAGAGCAAATATTGCCAATGAATAGGAACAATTTTCATCTGTAGAAACACAAATGCACATGGGTACACACAGAAATAAAAATTAAGTTGAACAGAGGCATGTACTGTCAGAATGTATTTCCATCTCAACCTGTAACATCCCGTGGGCCTTGTGAAGCCCTGGTCCCACCAGGCCAATCTTCTGGCTAAGGAGATACAGAAATACTTGACCTATAAAACATCAAACTCACTTGCTAATCAAGCATACAGGCCATGTGGTACTTGATTGCTCTTGATTGCTTAGTTTCAAAATCAAGTTCACTTTTGAATCAGGAAAATGCCATCCTTAAATTAGATCTCATAAATAACTCATGAAATAAACTTCACTTCTGGCTCTTTTGAACAATATTATATTAGTCCAAGAACACAAGGTGTTAGTCAAGTGGCTGCTTTGAAACCATGAAATACATGTTCATAAATATATGTCTAAACTTAAAAAATTAAATACATCCAGGCACAGTTGCTGTGCAGAGTTCCTGCTATAAGAAGAAGGCTTTCAGCAGTATATTATGAAGTGGTTACTTGAGAACTTGATTCTGGATCTTCCTGCTTTCTGTATTTCTTCATAATACTGACTGTACCATTAACCAGGAAAACCACAGCGATGAGTGCAAAATAGCCAGCGTAGATCAGGAACTAAAGGGAGGGGAGGAGTAGTAATATGTAGAGTTATCAATTAGAAGAAGAACAGTTTTCTTTCATAAATGTGAATATTCTCTATATTTAAAGGTATATTCAGAGTTTCTCAATAACCCTCAAAAAACATTTATGTGTTTACACTATGTGCCAGGAGCTGAAGATACAAAGAGGCCGGTGGCACTGAGACCTGACTGCCTGAGTGTGAACCCTGGCTTCATCCCTTACTAGATGTGAGATCTTGGTCAAGATACATAATCTTCTCTGAGCCTTGACTTCTTCATTTACTAAATGGAGTTCATAATACCTTGAAATAATTAAAAAGGTAGAATCATGCAAGTAAATACTTCTTAAACCAAAATCAAACCCATTGCCATAGAGTTGATTCCAACTCATTGTGACCCCCATTGGGTTTCCGAGGCTGTAAATCTTTATGGGAGTAGATTGTCTCATCTTCTTCCCACAGAGCTGCTGATGGGTTTGAACTATCAACCTTGCGGTTAGCAGACAAATGCCTTACCCACTGTGCCACCAGAGCACCTTAAATACTTATTAGCATAATGTGAATATTGTTAATCCTGCAGTTTTAAGTGTTATTGTTAAAAGTGCCATGGTCTGTACCCAGAAGCTGATAGGTGGCAACAGGCTAAGTTCTGAAGATCAGAAATCTCAACTTCTCCCAGAAAAAGGTAGTAGAAGGTCAGATACATTCCACTATAAAAACAAAAAAAATCCACTGCCATCCAGTTGATTCCAACTCAAAGCAACCACCTTTTGGTATCCAAGGCTATAAATCTTCACAGAAATAGACTGCCTCATTTTCCTCCCACCACAGAGTTGCTGTCAGTTCAAACTGCTGACCTTTTGGTTAGCAGCCAAATGCCTTAACCACTGGGCTATCAGAGCTCCTTATTGCATTATAGGATTACTTTTTTAAAGAATCACTCCTAAGCCAATATTTTATTGTTAATCAACATCTTCACCTTCTTCTTAAATTTAACTTACTAAATATAAGCCAGATCAAAGCTCATAAAAAAGGGGTGGGCTTACATTCTTTCAGTCAAGTAAACTTGGAAACGTTTTCCTATAGGAAAATGATTCATCATGGTACTTAGGACACATCCCATAAAATCCTACTCATCCATGTGCTTAAACCCACCATTTATTTTTGTAAGAACATCTAATTTTAGCTTCAAATGCCAGCTATGTGCTTCCCTCAGCTAGACCTGGAGACTGTTTCTTAAAAACAGGCAGCATGTTAGGCACTTAATTTCTCTCCTACTCCCCATCACAAAAGTATAGAACACAACCCTTGAGAGGTCTTCCTGGCTTTCTTTTCTTCTGGTATTATTGTGTAACATATAGAAAGTGACTTTTGCCTCAATTTTTGAGGTAGGATAGTACAGACCTGGGAGCATCATAGGCTTTAGAGTTAGGCAGATTTGGTTTAAACCCTAGCTTTGCCACACCATTATGAGCTGTGTGTGACCTAAAATAAATCACTTAACATCTCTCTCATTTTCTTAGTCTCTAATCCTGACAATGGGGGCTCTGGTAGCATAGTGTCTAAGGTAGGCACTTCTGCCGACCAGAAGGCTGGTGGTTCAAACCCACTAGCCACTCCTCGGAAGGAAGGCTGGGCAATCTACTTCGTAGTGATACTGCCTCGGAAACCCAAGGAGGGGTCGCTATGAGTCGGGGCCAACTTGATGGCACATAACAACAACAATCCTGACAATAACCCTGAGAAATTCTATATAAAGTACATGGCACATAGAAGACACAGAATACACATTAAGTAACATTATTCTCTTTTAGGTCTCTTCAATAAAACCAAAGTTAAATACTACAAACATATTAGGTCTTTGTATTGGAAGAAAACTAACAGGTAGTGTGGAATATTAGGTAGTATGTATGGAGAGAATAATGGTGAAGGAATTATTTGGGCTGAGATGGGTTGAAGCAGGAACTTCTTGAATCAATGGCCCATTTTGCCAAAGTACAGAGCAAGCCCTACTTATAAATGTAGAATGCATGAAGGTATATACACTTATACAACTGCACAACTGCAGAAAGAATAAAAGTATCCACACTGTCCCTGGGTGTTTGTGCAGGTGTTTTCTGAATAGGTCATGTTCATTAAAAATCATTATGCTATTTGTCAACAGCAAGTCATTACTTCGGTATCTGGGTATCTGGTGCTTTTAATAAAGAGAGGGCACTTAGAGAGTTGTGGCATAAAGCAGGGCATCTCAAACATGGGGTATAATATTCTAGACAAAGAATTAAGCATGGAGATAATAACAGTTGAGCAGAAGAACCTGGCTTGGAAGGAACTCTATTCAGCTCTCACCTAAAAATAGCCCCAGTGGAGAGGAAAAATGTGGAACAAAATTCACAAACACAAAAATGACCAGAATTACTGGTTGAAAAGAGACTGGTGGAATCCTCAAGACTATGGCCCCAGATTATCCTTCGGGCCTGGAAATGGACTCACTTCTGTGGATTAGCTCTCAGCCCAACAGTAGAAAGACCTACAAAGCAGAACACCTGCCCCAGCAAGATGTACCCACCTACTCTAGGGAGATGCACACCTTAGGTCAATCAGTCATGAGACACCAGAGGGGCAGCATTCACATAGAGGGAAAGCTGGGCAGACAGCAGTGCAAAGTTAAGAAGGGCACAGGGAGAGGGTAGTCACAGGGAGGAGAGGGGAGGAGTGCTTTTTATGGTTAGGGATTGTAATCAGGGCTGGGAAACCAAATGTGCATGAACTGTTGAGAGTAAAATGAATCTGCTTTGTAAATTTGCACCCAAATCACAATAAAAAATTAAAAAGAAAAATTGCCCCAATGGGCTGGTTAGTTAATCAGGATGGTTCTAGAGTCTCATTTAAAAAAAAAAATTTATATATATATATGGCCCCAACATTCTGTAAGTAGAAAAGAACTGTATTGTTAAACAGATAAAAAGTAAAAAAGTCTCCTCCTTCCTCAGTCATCCTACATCTATATTGTTGGAGGGAGCTCTGATGGCATTAGTGCCTAAGGCATTTATTTGACTGTTAACCAGAAGGCTGGCAGTTCAAACCCACCAGCTGCTCCTTAGAAAGATTAGGCAATCTACTTCTATAGAGATACCACCTCAGAAACCCAAGGAGGGGTCACTATGACTCGAATTGATCGATGGCAGTGAGGGTTTGTTTTTTTTTTTTAATTGTTGGAACTTGTTTTCATTAAGCATGCTCCACTTTTGTCCCTCTGATCAAGTGATAATATCTTCCGTACTGAAAAAGAGATCATCTTACCTGAGTGGTAATTTCTAAGCCAAAACCACTGGCATCTACCACAATCAGAGTGAGCAGAGTCTGTAATGCCAGGGCAATGAAGGTATTTACACCAAACACTAGGGCATAGCGCTCCATGCTGAGGTTCGCAGCAATCTGAAAACTTTAGGGGGAAAAATAAGTAAATAAAAGAAGAATGAAGAAACAAGATTACTTCCTGGATTGTTACAATTTTTACTTTAAATGTAAAGGTTAGTCCCTTTTTTCTACCATCAATTTCCTTTCCAACAAACTGAAAAACGTTTTGCTGCTAAATGATACAGATTGCATGCAAGCATTTGAGAACAGTGCCCACTAAAACCCACTCCCATTGAGTCACATTCCATTTCAACTCACAGCAACCCTATAGGACAAAGCATAACTGCCCCATAGAGTTTCCAAGGCTGTAAATCTTTTACAGAAGCAGAATGCCTCATCTTTCTCCCTTGGAGTGGCTGGCTGGTGGATTCAAACTGCCAACTTTTTGGTTAGCAGCTGAGTGCCTTAACCACTGTACCACCAGTGTTCCTTTTAGAGAACTGCAAGAACATATAACAAGGGAATAAGCAAATCTTGCCTAAATGCTTCCTCAGGAGAAAAAGTGATACCATACAAGCAATATGATGTTTCCTCTTTTTTGCCTCCTTCAACAGAAAAGTTTTTTGGTCTATAAAAAACCAAAGTTTGTTCTGCCATAATATTCCTAATGCTTCTTTGAACCTAAATACATACGTTGCTATAGTGATGAGTAACATGTAGATGATTCTGAAGACAACATAGGATGTGTAGCACACCCAAATGTTACCCACAGTGTCCATGATATACACTGCGGCAGCAATCAAGAGTGAAAACAGAGATAATGTCATTTCTCCCCAAGTTGACCAGGAAATTTTTATATAACCAACTGCAAACACAGCAACAGCACCTACAAAACAAAAAAGAAAAAAGTAATTTAGCTATTTTGCTAAAACACTCTCTTAGTTATCTAGTGCTGCTATAGACAAAATACCACAAGTGAATTGATATAACAAACAGAAATTTATTTTCTCAAAGCTTAGGAGGCAAGACGTCTGAATTCAGAGCACCAGCTCTGAGGGGAAGGCTTTCTCTGTCTGCTCTGGTCTCCTCAGCTTCTGCTTTCTGGCTTCTTGAAGATCTCCACGTGTCTCAGCATCTATTTCACCCCATCTCCACTGTGCTGCTCGCTTGTACATCTCAGAAGAGATCCACTCAAGACATACCCTACACTAAACCTACCTCATTAACATAACAATGACAACTATTCCCAAATGGCATTAGAACCATAGGCACAGAGTTTAAGATTCACAGCACATATTTTTGGAGGATATAATTCAATCCATAACAAATACTATTTCAATAAATTAAAAAATCAGCTTAGATTACTAAATTTTAAATTATTTAAATTTATAAATAGTTAGCTCAAGATTATAGAGAGCCTTGAATCTCAAGCAGAGAATTTTGGACTCAATGGAATACACAATATGGAGCCACTGAGAGATGATGAAAGACTGAATTAGGAATTAGGGCAGGTGAAAGTGAGATGCAAAAGGAGGGCACAGGCCAAGAATACTGCTTAAGAAAAAAAAAACTACTGGGGCTGAAGGAGAGGGAAGAGTCCAAAAGGACTAATGCTTCTAGCTTGGCAACATGGCAGAATGACCCATCTAACATTTAAACTGAGGAGCAGTCTAAAACATGCCAAAGGGGCTTCTCTGTGCTTTGGTAAAATGATTGTGATGATTATGATACTAAAATGTACTGAAGTCCTTTTTAAGTGCCAAGCACAGTTATGTTTAAATCATGTAAAGCCTCTCAACAACTTAATGAGGTAGGTCAACAAATCAGAAAAGGAAAATAGAGTATATGGTCAAGAACACAGGTTCTGGAGCCACCCTGTTTGAATCCAAATCTTAACTTTATCCTTACAATCTGTATGGTGTTGAACAAGTTATTAATCTACCTGTTTCCTATACCAGTTTCCTAACCTGTAAATTGGGGATAATAATTGTCCTGGCATTTTGCAAGGACTGAGGACTTAGAATAGCACCTGGAACATAATTACAGCATGAAGCAGATGTTGTTAAAAACTGCTGTATTTTGATACTCAAAGTCTCACAACTAGTGGCAAAACCACACGGTAAATACCAATGATGGAAACTTGGATAAGAAAAGAAAACAATTTTGAGAGTCATTACATTAGGTTTCCCCAAGGTTATAAATATATGAAGAATTCAAGTTTGTTAGTGACATTCCTTCACCACTTCTAAATTTTCCTCCTAAATTACAAAACCAGAATTCAAAATAAGTAAATCATTCTTTGGAACTACTTCAAAGATGGAAGGCGAGAACACATCTGATTATGGGTGGCTTACCTATCAGAGGAATCTCCTCCTCCATCCCACCCTCTTCCACCCTGCATTGCTTACCCAGTAAGGTTGAAACAGCTTCCACACCACCATTATAAATAGCAGCATGGCGAGAAGGCATGACCTGCTCCCACAGGCCCTGTGTGTAGTTCACGACTTGAAAATAGCCACAGGTAGAGAGGGCCCACCACACAGACCAGCAGAGCAGAGGGCGAGAGGAGTAGCACATCAAGAAATCATTCCATAACACCTTTAGCACAAGGAGACGGTCTGGCTTGGCTTCCTACAGAGCAAAAGAGAAACAAAACCCAAACACTATGAAGGCAATTTTACAGAAAACAATTATACAGACTCAATTTCCAACTTAACAGACTTTTTATTCTTCTTGTAAAAATGAATTATTTCATATATGTGTGTGTGTGTGTGTGTGTGTGTGTATATAATCTATTGACAGTTAAATTTATCCCCTCTGGAGAAAAAATAAGTTTCCATATTATTTTGCTTTATATGCTCTATAAATATTAGCTATAAGTAATCAACCCAGGATTACAAAGGATGTGTTATTTACAAGATGAAGGTAAAAAGATTATCAGAGACTGCATACCACCAAAGGGAGATGACACTCCATGTTGACTATATAATGGCAAGCAATAAACAGGAACCCTATTAAATCACTGTTCAGTTAGAGTCAGTCAATGAGAAACTCCCATCCTTATGTTCTTGTTGTTGTTGTTGTTAGGTGCCGTCAAGTAGTTTCCGACTCAGTGACCTCATGCACAGCAGAACGAAACACTGCCCAATCCTGCACCAGCTCCATGATCCCTGTTATACCTGAGCCCATCATCGCAGCCACATTGTCAATCCATCTCATTGAAAGCCTCCCCCCCTTTCATCGACCCTCCACCCTTCCCAGCATGACATCCTTCTCCAGGGAATGGTCCCTTCTGACAACATGAACAAAATAGGTGAGACGAAGTCTGGCCATTCTCACTTCCAAGGAGCATTTCGGGTGCACTTCCTCCAGGAAATATCAGTTAGTTCTTTTAGCAGTCCATGGTACTTTCAGCATTCTTCACCAGCACCACAACTCAAAAGCATCAACTCTTCTTCGGTCTTCTTTATT